TATATATATGATGATAGAAAAGCTGAAGACTTCAGTGTTAGTGGAATGACAATTCAAGTAAATCAGAACAGAACATTACTTGGTAATACTAATATAATAGCAACAGCAAATGGTAATTAAATTTTATAGTATTCCAAGTATTGTACTTTGCAAAACCAAATCATTTAAAGTTCATAGCAACCTTATAGGGAAGGTAAATTATTTTCAATAGATTCATAAGGTAAAGCACAAAGACATAGGAAAACTTGCCCAGTGTCACAGGATCAATAAGGAAGAAAACTGGGACTTGAAGTATATGAGTAATAATATATACAGAATATGTATGTTACAATCAAATCTTCAAACAGCTATAACTTTCAATATTCACCTTGTCATCTAATGTTTCACTTATAGATGTTGCCAGTTTCAGCAGCTCTTCTATATCTTCTTGGCATCTATGATTCAAAACAAAGCACCTCAACTTCAATTTCCTTAATTGCTGTAATCAATAGGTCATATTTAAAAACTAAAAGTTAAGACAAATTTTAAGTTCTCTGACTTAAAGGTTACTGGCTTATAAAATACATTACTTCAAAATCGCAATCACCTAAAAACAGTATATAAATAAGACTTACTTTTAAATACATATGGCTTTTTACTTTTGACTTAGGATAGAAGGAAAAAAACATGATGGATAAACAGTAATTCTCTGATGTTTCTGTTTTGAAAAGTTGTAGCTTTTAAAAGCTTCAAAATGGAAAAACTCACATTTAATATGATCACATATTTGGAGACTGATTAGTAATACCAAAAACAAAAGAAAACTAAACAAAAACACCCCACAAAGTCATAGTAAATGTTTAGTGTGGGATGAATATACTGGCATTGCAATTACTAGGGGGCTTACTTTATGTTTTGAAAAGAAAATTAAAATTCCCTATGATGAATGTGATTATTAAGATCATCAAGACTACCAATAAAATTAAATAAACAAACTAAAAAAGAATGAAACCACTTGTGATTCCACCATTCAAAGATGATAACTTTTATGGTCTGGTTGTAACCGTTCAGAGTTTCAAGAAATCTAAATATGTGGGGGAAAAAAAAAGGAAATTACAATTTCTGAAATACTGCTCCTACTACTTATTTTAAATTATAAGCAGGACCTCTCTAAGTTGCTAAATTGCCTAGGCTGAGCTGGAACTTGCAATCTTCCTACCTCAGCTCCCCCATAGTGCTTGGATTACATGCATCACCGTGCCCAGATAATTATTTTTAGACAGAGAACATTACCCAATACTTGGCTTGCGACTGTAGTTCTCCTGAAATTGGTCCAATGCAAGCATAGCTGTGTGAATCTGCAAAGGTACCTATTTAGGAACATTAAACATGGGCAAAAATTTAGTGATTGTGTAATATTTGTAGGCACTGTGATAAATACTTTAAAAACATTATTTAATTTACTCTTTAAAATAAACATGTGAAATATTATACAATGACATCACCAGAGAAGTAAAATGACTTAACTTTAGGCCCCAAGCTTCCATTCCAGGTGGAATAGCATTACTAGGTTATTTACATGAAACTTGAGTATATTTACTGAGCAACAGTAACAAAATATTTATACAAGATAATCTAGTTTTTATCAATACTTAAAAATTTGGAAAGCATTCTTATTACAAATACATTTATTCATAACAAATCATATCCAGTGATTTACAATAGAATATAGTGCATGCTTAAGGTTTTTTTGTATTATATAAAATTCTACATGGCTAAGTATTTTAATACAATCGTATTTGTATACATTATTGAAATTATTTTTTAATACCAAAGGTACCTTTACTACGAAAGTAAAACTTCCTTATTATTCTAACATTTTTTCCATGGTACAAATTTGTTTTTAATTCTTCAGTGTTTACTTCAGATATATGAATATAACTTTTACTACAAAAACCTGATAGGAAAGTATACACATGCTTACTCCATTTTAACTTATATTCACTTACCAATTCCCATCCCCCACTCTGCTGTTTCTTTCAAACCTGCAAAGTATTTATTTACCTCAGGTTTGCTAAAATCCGCAATAAGGCACTTTGGATGTTTTATCTGCCTCTCCAATGGCTCCTAATTAAAAAAAAAAACTTATTAGTTCACAAAAGTAAATGATTACTTGATAAAATATATTGTTACTGTATAGATATATATCAGTTAGTAAAAGCAACAGATCTTTCCCAAAGGTCTGAACACACAAGGTGGCAATGATTTGTTTTAAATGAAATATAAAACAGCTATTGTTCTCTTAATGCCACACTTAAATGAAGATCAAGTACAATTAAACTACCACTCCACATACTAAAAAATTTGTCTGAACGTATGTGTGTGTACTCCAGAAATTACCATTTTAATCTAATTATACTGTATTTTTTCCGAATAAAGTTGTCAAGATTTGTTATGCTTAACAAGACTTGGATATTCAAAGTTAAAATCTATGCAGCATAAAGAACACAAAGGCAAAATAAATGAAAACTTAAAAAGCAATCTTAAAACACACGCTAAATGTGAAATTATTTGATACATTAACTAGCCAACTAAAAACTGGAGCTAATTTGCTGGCTGATCACTGAGTTCATAGTGAGTTCAAGGCCAGCCTCAACTACATTAGCAAGACCCTACTTCAAAGCAGCACTTCCACCAAAACAAAGGTATGAAGGGTAGTTCTAACTAAATGTACTGACATTTCATTACTTTAACTTTGACTTGAACAAAGCATCGAAGAGGACTGTTGTTAACAGTAAGGGGGAGGAAATGGGACACAGGACAGTGAAGTTAAAACCTGGACAACTCGAAGAAAATCTCTTCAAGTCCCAGACAATGAGGAAAAAACAAACAAAACAAAACAAACAACCAGAGATGTGTTAGACAGACTACACTGGGAAATGGCCTAAGGATTTAAACAGCAGGAGACCTCTTAGTTTCAAAACACAACACAAGAAGTGTTCTCTCTGCATCCTCTCTATTCAGCAATTTACACTTTCCTTTAACTGTCAGAAGTATATGGGAATTATTTTACATTTCTAAAATGTATACTGTTTTTGAAATTTTAAAAGTTAAATGAAAATTTAAAATCAAGACCAATTATTAACTATTATAAGTAAAAAACTTTTGTATACTGTTTTTGAAATTTTAAAAGTTAAATGAAAATTTAAAATCAAGACCAATTATTAACTAAGTAAAAAACTTCTTTAACTATTTTAATTAAAAAGTTTAAAAATTAAATAAAGCAAAACAGCTCTTTGTAAATCTTTTGAAAATATAAATGTTTGCTTTATCTTGTCTTAGAAAGTAACAGTAAGTATGATCAACTCTTAGATTAGCCTGGACATTGGTATTTGAAAAATACATACCCCAATTCATACATACATACATATATATATATATATATGTATATATATGTTATAATAATTATATATATTATGTTCTAGCTGTACAAAATGCATACTTAAAAATATTAGTTTATTTCTTTGATTCCATTTTTCTTAAAAGTGGGTACAAATTAAAAAAAAAGCTGTTTAAAAAATAGGTTAACTGTTTGGTTAATTGAACAATTTTAGTACTTTTTTCCCTTGAATTATTCTTTTTCTGTAAAGAAATATTTTTCAGCAGAAAAAATACTTACAAAGCAAAATGTTTTAGGAGTTTTCACCTGTACAGCTATTCCTCCATGTAAATATGGTTCCAGTGCTGTAGTATCACCAATGCTAAAAGAAAATGGTGATCCTACTAGAAGAAAAGAAACAAGAAAATCATTACACAGGGGTACAGATACTGAAATCTGAAGACTTACTGTGATAAAGATGTTAATTTCTCCCTAATTTATAAATTTAAAAGGTTCTAGTACAGCTTTTTTTTTTTAATGTGGGAGTAGTGTGGGGAGCTGTCCAGAGTATTTTTTCCAAAATGAAATTTAGGACTTGAAAGTCAAGAAAATTCAGAGAAGAAAAAGAGAAATATACATTAGTATTAGACATTAAGATATATTATAAAGCCTCAATAATCCATTAGTACAAACTATATATTATAATAATATAGTATGGTACTGGCTCAGGCACAGACAAATGGAATAGATACAAAGAAACTTGGTGATCAACAAAGGTGGCACTTCACATCAATGCAGAACAGGTACAATGGCTTCCTGTACTGTCTAAAAGGAAAGCTACCTGGGAAACTATTCCGAATGGATGAGTTTTAAAAGGTTAAAAAAAAAAAAATTCCTTTAAAACCTGGAGGAAGGAAGGTTCTTCTAAGAACACTCAAAAGACACATAATTAAAAAGATAGGATTATGCAAAAATAATACAGGTGCATGATTAAAAATAAAACTATCATAAGCAGGTCAAAACAGAATGCCAAACTAGGAAACACACGTTCAACTCAAGAACAAAACAGAACAAAACAAAAGCTGACAATGCTCTAGTAAGAGTTCCTAGGAGTGCTTAAAAAAACAGTCATGAGAAAATGCCAATAGGCAGCTCACATTGAAGAGAGAAAAATGCCTCTAAAACTTAAGATACTCAATATTAGTCATAATACAAGAAACACAAATTAAAATCATGCTTTGATAACATTTTCATCCATGAATTATAAGACACAAAAGAAAAAGAATTCTGGACCAGGGATTTAGCTCAGTAGTGCTGCTGCCTGCCTCATAAGCACAAGGTTCCAAGTTCAATCCACAGTACCAAAAAAGAAAAAAAGAAAAGGGAATGAGAAAGAATGCTCTGCAATATTATTGATATAAAAGTATCACTGAGCCACTGTTTTTTTTAATAAAAAGGCAAAGAGCAGCACTATGTATAATACAGTCAGCTACTTCTGTGTGAAAAGCTTAGGGGAACCCTAGAAGGACACACAATAAACTAAGAGCAGCAGTTATCTGTGGCTAAGGAAAAGACAGGAGATGGAGCCAAGGATGGGCAAAAGCTCTTCAATGTAAACATTTATCCTTTCCTCTTTTTGAACTATTTATTCAAAAAGTTTAAATCTTTTAAGCTCCCCTCTCCACTTAGCATATAAATAAATATATGAAACTCTCTGGGGAAGGAAGGAAGTGTGAAGAAGGGCTCACGTTTAACCCTATGTATGTATATAGACATACAAAATGTATATATACATTTATACAAATGTATAAATGCAAATGTACATATGAAATATGTAAATTTAAAAATATTTTTCACAACATATTTTCTAACAGCAGTAAGTACAGTACCAACTAATAATTGCTAAGAAAAAAACTTCAAAAACTGTAGGTCTATTTAAACATTCCCCACCCCAACAGAGTTTGTTTTTGGTACAAAATGTGGATTTTATCTTCATTCTTTGATATTCAATGGTTCCTTCTTACACAGATAGTCATAAGAATCTGAACTGTCATCATAATCCATCACTGCATTGTCACAAAACATTAATTTGAATTTGTATTTAAGACATTTAGATGTAACTAAGAAACAAAATCAGTTGTATTAACCAAAGATTCTTAAACACGGATCTGCAGTTATTTACAGTTTGTAACAAAAACTGTTTTTTAAAGATATATTTTGCAATCATTAAATAAAGAAAAAGGTAATTTTATTAGTTTACCTACTAATTCTGTAAGGATATTTTTCAAATGCCCTAAAAACAAAACTGAATCATTCTTCCATAAACCGGTATAGACGTGGCGCATAGTCAAATTATAGGTTTTTAATCATTGTCCTTAACTCTTTTAAACATGGCTGGAGGCAAAACAAAAACTGTGAAGGTTAATGTTAGTATAAATTCATTATCTCCAACTTCAAATGTGCCCTAGATGATATCGATTTTTTTAAAAAAAATGCGTATTCTCCTCAAACTTCCTTGGCACCTTCCTTTTCCTTTGAGTAATAATCTCACATTAAATCCCTGAAACAAGAATGACTGCTTCAACTTACTGGCAATAAACTTACAAACTGTCTTAGTCATAATCACTCATACCTTTCATGAAAGCCACTGAACAAGAACACACATCCAACCAATATCTGCAACTCCCCTTGAACATTCCATTGCCACCCTCACTCAACAAGCACAAACATACTGTCTTCTCTCCAAACCTGCTCCCTTTGCGTACTCCTGAAGTAAATGAGTTGCGCGAATAGGAATCTGCTCATCTAACAATGTAATGAGGTTTCCTCCTAAATGTCTTAAAGACTCATGGAATTCTAATTCTCACCACCAGCCTTATCGCAGTATGCTTCTTGTTATTCCTAAGATCTGAGTCTTTTACTTTTTGTCTTTGTATAGAATACACTTTTCTACGCCAGTATAACCATCAGATTTTAATCAAGACACCTACCCTGTCCTTACTGTTCTAAAACAGGCTGGGTATCCTTGCTAAGTTTGGAGTTCTAAGAATGCCTATTTTCTGTATCATCACTGTTTAACATGTTTAACTTAAACTGAATGTTCTCAGGCCAAGAGCTATGGATCAGGTCTGAGCTGACATTGTGTTCCCGCCACTTTCCAACACTAAGTACTTCCCAACATTGAATTATAAATATTCAGAGTAGTAAATATAAATTAATTCAGAAAACATGTCAACTTACCAGTTATTTGTTGTATAGATCCATTTAAACCCGTCATTCCATTAATTTCTCGAAATGTTAGGAACTGTCCTGTCTCAAGTTTGTGAGGATGATTTTCAAGGCAAGTTACAATGCCAGGGTTAGCCTAAGAATAACAGTAATCTATTAAAAATCAAGTTGATGTATTCTTTTAGTACAAATTCCAAATCTCACACAGAAATGACATTATCATAAAAATCTCAAACTCAAATTTCAAGCCATTCTTTTCCCTCCTTAGTAAAGCAACTCTCTAAAGAAATGACAGAAAGGGCCAGGGATTTAAGCTCAGTGGTGCAGCCACCTGCCTCATAAGTGCAAGGTCCTGAGTTTCATCTCTGATACCGTCCCTCAAAAAGATATGACTGAAAAGTTCATTACTGCTTTTTAAAGTGAATGTTGAAATAGTTTCACGTTTTGCGAGCGAAGTTCAGAGCTTTCACAGGGGAATTCAAGTATTTCACAGATTCAAAGATTCTTGTGACTTGTAAAACATATTCAAAGTTACAGAGCATGTTTTAAAGTCACGTTAGGAGTAAAACTGGTTATTAAAAGATAACCTAATACTGAATATAAAAGAAGTGTATGGAAGGAGGACGGAGATTTTAAAGATGGGAATCTGGCAGTTTACAGATCATCCAATATTTTAAAGTGAGAAATACTAGGCAGTTTAATATGTTATTTTCTGTACTATTCTATACAAGAAAATACTACTGCAATAAAGAATACATACTATCTTTTGGAGCTTTATTCTAACACAGTTATTCTCAGGGCAAACAACAGCCAACTACAGAAAAAGAACAACTTGAAAGAATTCAGGTAGAATAAAAAATCATTCAATAGATACATAAAATGATTTTTCAATGAGATTTTCTTAAAGAGGCATACAAAAGAAATTAGACAGGGTTTAGAAATAAAGCATAAAGTCAGAAGCACAAATACTATTTTGTCATTGTACACTGCCATTCTCTTGTATTTAGCTTCTTTTGGGCTTTAATATAACTAACTATAAGGAACATAAATAAGGTAAAATACTAAAGATAAAAGAAAAAGAGTATCAAGAGGTAATTATAGTGATTTTGCCAGTTCATTAGGGGATAAGAAAATCAAGCTTACATGTTACCGAGACAATGTAGTAAAATCTACTTTTGACTTGAATCAATTCTTACGTTTTTCCCTTTTTACAATAAATATAGTTTTAGAAATGTAACACATTAGAGAAGCTTTTGTCTAAATTGCTTTGTCTTTTCCTGTATATAGTCAGTGTTGGGCCTGCTGTTATATGGTATATTCAGTACATCCATGTTCTGACACAGTAAGCAATGAGTCACAACTCATATATGACAGAAACATGACATAGAACAAAACTGAAATTAACATTTATGAAAATCACTGCTGTATCAAATATTGAATAATGTTAGTGACCCAGAACATCCTTCCCCCTCCTCCCCGGTACCAGGGATCAAACTCTGGTCCTTGTGCTCGCAAGGCAGGTGGTGGAACAATGAGCCAAATCCCCGGCCCTGGAACATTTTTTAACAATATTCCAATTTCAAGTTAGCTTTAGCATAACACAATCATTAGAAATTAACAGTCCTTCGTTAATTACTGTAAAACACCATGAAATGAAAAATATTGCTTATAAAATACTTTGCTAAAACTCTTTTCAAAAATAGCATTCACATCTACTTTAAAATATTTTATTGAAAGAGTTCGTTAATATAATCATACTTGCGTTATATTTGAAATGAAAATTTCTTTTGGTTCTTCTCCCGTTGTATCTGAAACTTCAAATTCATCACCAAAATCACAAAATAATCGTGACCAAACTCCATGTACATCGGCACTGATGAACTGTGAAATGGCAAAAATCTCATTTAATCATGTGAAAGGAAAAAAAATAAAAACAAAAACCTCAATTATCTTAGGTTCTTTAATGACAATTTTATTTACAATTAAATAGAACCTTTGGAATATAAAGTGATTTATGAATAGGCTAAATTGTTCTAGTTTACAAATCAAAAATTTGGTATTTGGTGAATGGATACTGAGTGCAACAAAGTTAGAAATACTGTCAGTTTATTATCATTACACATTCTATAATTATTAAGTAACAAAAATTTTGGCATTGTGGTAAAATTTTACTTTAGTGCCTATCTCAAAGATACTTTTTCCTTCTTCCAAGAAAACAAATGACCCTAAAACAAAAGAGGCTGAGTTAGGAACATGCATTCAGTTACAAGAGAAGAAATATGATTTTTCCTTATCTAAATTTCTTTCCAATGTCATCACTATGCAGCTATGTTGGAGAAAACTTTAGAAGTCATTCTCAGTTCATCATTTTATCATTCTTTCAAAGCTTATATTCCTCTACCTACAAGCTCTAAGACCCCCCCATTTTAACAAAAAACCCTCAAACTCAACAACTTCTCTTTATGTCTACTTTCACCTTTTTTATGTATGACATCAGTGTCGCTAAGCTAGACTACAACAATAATTCTGAACAGTTGCCTCTACTCTATGCTTATAATCTAACAGTTCTCTTTATTGGGGGTCCTCTTTTATTACTGTTTTGAGATAAGTGTCTTACTGCATAAGACACCTAAACTCACTATGTAGCCCAATCTGGCATCAAATTTGTGATCATCCTTCCTGATCAGCTTTTCTAGTGCTGGGATTATAGGCATAAACCACCAATCCCAGCTTTTTTGGAAGTTGTCATGACCACTTCATATTCTTAAAGATTAATGAGAATTGAAAGGGCTTTTGTTTGCATGAGTTACACCTGTTGACATTTTCTAAGTTAGGAATTAAAAATGTAACCACTTACCAGACTAATTATTTAAATACAAGATGACCAAAATTTGCATATTTTTGCTAATTCTTATAAGACAATATGACAGGTAATATAAAAATGACAGTTTTATCAAATTTATTCAATAAAACAATCAACTGGTTGAAATGACACCTGCCGGAATGAGGCTTGGGATAGCATGTAAACAAACATGCTGCCCAGGTGATGCATGGGGTAAACTGCTAAGTGGTTAAAATGTAAGACACATAAATAAACATATTCTATGAGCTGTTAGAGGAATAACATTACCACTTTCACAGAATCTGAAAAAACTAGTGCATTTCATCATAAAATAATGAAAAAGGTAATAACATCTCGGTAATATCATGAAAATAGTCTTGACTACACGGATGCCTGAAAGGGTCTCAGGGACTCTTGGTGCATTCAGACCACATTCTGAAAACTTCTGATACAATTTACTCTCCATACCGCAAACCAAAGTCATTCTTTAAAATATAAATCAAATCAAAACTCAAGAGGCTTAAAAGTGAAATATTCTCAAAGATCCTGTAAGATAAGCCCTGTGCCTACTTCTCTAAACTGAATCCTCCAGATTATCTTACCTTCCTTACCTAACTCCACTTGATCCTGGTTTGATACCTAATAGTGCTCAAACTCCCAGAGCTAAATTGCACACTTGCAGATTTTACACATGCTGATCCTCTGCTCTGACTGCTCTTCCCTAGAACCTTATATACTGGTTCCTTCACCTTATTCATGCTTCTATTCAAATGTCATCTCGGAGAGGATAGCTCCCTAGACTGTCACAACATGTTTAAATTTGGATGATGTACCCAGGTATGTGCACACAGTCTGGGAGGTTGAGGCAGGATTTAAAATTTGAGCCTAGTGTGGGCAACTTAATGAGACCTCATCTTAAAAAATATGCTGAAGATGTAGCTCAGTGCAAAGGCCCAAAAAAAACAAAACAAAACAAAAAACAAACAAAAATAAAAGTATGTATTCAATATTTATCATCCATTCCTAACCTTAACTTTTTTCTAACTCTTTCTTAATGTTGGCAATTAATCTATAAAACAAACTTACAATCTAGTTTTAAAAACAGAAAATGAATATGAAAACAAAACTAAAGGGCATAAATTTGATTACGATTTTTCTCTTGTAAAATGAGCTTCTTATATAACTCAATAAAAGCATCAAATTTTAATAGTATGTGTTCTCCATTAATTAGGTGCATATCATTAAATAAGTATAATTACCTTAATTGGTGGGCAATGAGAATGGCAAAAGTCATTGATTTTCTTCTGCAATGGAAGTTTCATCTCAGTCAATACCACACACTGTTGACAATAAAGAAATTAAACATCATAAAATACACAATTATTTTGGTAAATTTCAACTTCTAAATCAGAAGCACTTGAGTTCCAATTATGGTAAAAATACAGTTATCCTCATAAAAAGTTACCACCCTATTGTATTCTAGGTATTTCTTTAGATTAAAATAGTAAAACTAAAAGTAACACACAGGAGAACTTGTCCATGTTATAGCAGAGCTTAATATCCTATGTGATATTTATGTGTTCTCCAAATGGTTAGATTAGTTTTATGTTACTGTTGTAGAAATATTTACCCAGCCACAATACAGTGTTATTTTCAAGATAGCTTAAGAGTGACAATATTATGAGATACATTAGTTGACATAGTACTTTTGTTCTGAGATTCAACAGAGTCACAAAATAGTTTGGTTTTATAGTATTAATGAAATTTCTCAATTCTACCATTTAAGATAGTAAATCATTTTCAGTGCTTAATTTTTTGTGATGACCTGATATAAATAGAAATTTTAAAGCTCAGAATTTGATTATAATGACCTTAGACTCAGAGAAGTGAAATACATTCTTAAGGTCAGCTGTCTACCAAGCAGTGAGCAGGCACAGCCTCTCCTTACTGCCTCTTAGCCTCTCCTCCCCATCCCCTTGCCCTACCATAAATCCCTCTACCCCTTGCTATTTACAAAGACTTTGTTTCCATTTTTTCCTTTTCTCATATTTATTCTTTTCCCTTCTTTCCTTTCCCCTACCCTTCCACTTTTGTGCTGGACCTTTTCTTCCTATTTTGCATCTATTTTCATCAAAGATTTTGGTCTAGTTTTGTTGTTGTTGTTGTAACCTTATCTGGTTTTGAATTGGAGGTAATGCTGATTTTGTTGAGTAAGTCTGAAAGAATTCTTCCCCCTCAATTCTTTGGAATGGTTTAGAAAAGCTGGTATTAGTCCTTTCAAAGTTTGACAGAACTCAGCAGTTATACCATCTGGTCCTGGAATAGTCTCTTTTGGGAGACTTAATAACTGGTTCAATCTTGTAGATTTTGTAAGTTTTTATCCTTCAGTTTCAGTAGGTAGTATATGTCCAGAAATGTGTTCATCTAGGTTTTTCAATCAATTAGTATATGGTTTTTCTATAAGAGTTTCTAAAGGTATTTGTTATTTCTGAGGTATCAGCTGTTATTTCTCTTTTTCATTAATTTTTTTCCATTTTTTTCTTAAAGATTTGATTTTATCATCGCAAAAAGCCATTTGTTTCATTAATCTTTTGTATTCTTTCTATTCTGTTTTACTAATGTCTCTCATAATCTTTATCATTACTTTCTTTCTACTAATTTTGAGTTTGCTCATTTTTCTTGATCTTTAGGATTCATTAGCCCATTTACCTGAAATCTATTCTTTTGATGTAGGTGTTCATGTCTATAAAATTCCCTCATTATTGATTTTGTTGTACTGTGCAAAAAAATTTTTTTTGGTACTGGGGATCAAACTTGGGATCTTGCACTTGCGAGGCAGGTGGTGGAACCCCTGAGATAAACCCCTGGCCCTACCCTGCAAATTTTGATATGCTGTGTGTCCATTTTCATTTATTTTTAGAAATTTAAAAATATTCTTTTTGATTTCTACAAGGGCTCAATGTTTATTCAGTAGCACATGGCTATTTCAATTTATACAGTTTCTTCTGTTTTCAATTTTTAATTTTATTCTGTTGTGGTAAAAGAATACACGATATGACTTCAATTTTTTTGAAGTCTCATTAGACTTGTTTTGTTAATATATGTGATTATATGGATTGTTAAGTGAAAAACAGCATAATTTGACCACAGAAAAAAGGACAATCTAGTTAATCTAGAATATCCAGGGTGCTAGGAAGTTTTATTTCTGTTATTCACAAAATTAGTAACTATGATAGACTGACTTATTGATTCATTTATTTCACTGTTCACCTAGAACTTCTTAGAAGAGAAGAATGTTCATGAACTTTGAGTTTGTGTTTGACAATGTGACTTGCTTTGGTCAATGGGCTGTTAATGGAAATAATGTGGACAAGGATTCAAAATGAGCCTACATGCCACTCTTTTGTCTTTCAGCTACTGCCATTAGAACATGACCTGCGTAGTCCTCCAGACTCTCCAGGTCAACCTGAGCTAAATTCACCCCACAACAGCTGAACTCCCCAATTGATATGCAGAATGATGGAAAAATAAATACATATGGTTATAAACCAGAGTTTTAAGCAGTTTTTAAATGCACATTACTGTGAAAATAAAGCCAACTGATATAACTGCTTTGTCAGCAGTTCTAGGCTCTTTCGCTAAAATGGAGCATTTGATAAATATCCAAACAGAAGTCTTCTAACTTGAAATGCCTTGCTTCTGGCTCAACACAATAGATAAATTAGTTATACCATATATTACATTAGTTATACCATACATCATTGGTGGAGAACCTATGGCATGTATGTTGCAGAGGGATGTTTGTTATCACTGAAAGCTCTAAAAGTTTGTCATCACTGCCATATATAAATACTTAACCGTTTGTGTTGGAACTTGTCAGTAACATTTAACACAGAATGGCATACTAACCTGGTATTTATTTAAGAAGGAGAGATCTGTAGATTCATTTAAAGGAACAGAAGATGACATGACATGAACATATGGATTTAGCTCTGCAATATGGTGAAGTACAGCTTCAGCTCTAAAAAAAAAAAAAATACTATTTTTTCTTTGAATACACTCAATATTCAGAATCTAACATGTTATGAAATTTCAATGGAAATAATAAACTATAAAAGAAAACTTATATATCTGTCATATAACTACATAATCTTAAAATATACTAGCATATTCCACAGTAAGCCAATCTCAAAGTGTACTATGACAGTTTCAAGCTCTCTTAATTATTAATACTAAAGACCTCCTTTAATAATCTCAGAAAATTCATATTTAGACAGCAACATGAATGTATCAAAGTTCTGACAAATATAAATAATTATGTAAGTCTATCTTTATTCTTATGTATCTATGGTACTGTGAACTTCTGGTGATGAGTTAAAACAATTATGACTAGTGTTCAAAACACACAAAATATCCTACATAATTGAGTTAAAAATTTCATGACAATACATTAAAATGTCTTTACCTGTTTCTCACATTAACAACATCATCTTTGCAGAGGAAGAAGTTGGTCCCTAGATCCCATGTGTGGCATTTTTCTGTATCATGGATTGTAAGTGCCTTCAAAAAAGAGGAAAATACCTGTTGAAGTCCAGGATGATCACTCATTCTAATATTATTTAGTATTATTATTTGAAAATAGACAATAAAAAATGAGGTATAAAAAGTAGAAAGATATAAAAATAGATCTATAGGGAGACAGATATGACTATATTCACCTGCAAACACCAATATGCTAATAAAAAACTAATTTAACAGTAAGATTATCAACATTTATGAAAGCATGTTAAAATATTAGCATATAAATATTCAGAAAATTTATATGAACATTTAAAAACACTCTATGTAATAAAGACAATTAATAAAGTACAAAAAGATACTGGGATATTTGTAGCTTATACCAAGCTATTTCAAGTCTCAGTGAAAAAGGGGCAAGCTATGTACAAGCAATATATTGAAAAAGAAAGCCAGGTGTGGTGGCACGTTCCTATAACTCAGAAGGTGGAGGCAGGAGTATTGCTGCGAGCTTGAAACCATGTTGGACTACATAGTGAGTTCAAGCCCAGCATAGAATATCAAGACCCTGTCTCAAAAAAAAAAAAACCCAAAACAAAACAAAAAGAAATGCATATGACACCTGAAAATATGTAAAGATTTCCAACACTGCTCAGGAATAAAATAACTTTTCTTACACATTAGACTGGCACAAGTACAAAAGTTTGACAACATGCTCTACTGCGGAGGAAGAGATGAATCAGCCAATCTCATACATTACTGATGGTCACATAAAGGGGCTCAAACACAATAGAAACAAATTTAGCAATCTCTAGCAGTAAGACAAATACATTTGTCCTCTGACACAGGAATTCTACTTGCAGGAAGCTATAGCAAAAACTCACTGGGTATTAAATGTACTTCCATTAAAAAACTAAAAGCAATCAAAATGTCCACCAAGAGGGAAAATTTGATGCAATATAAGATATATCCACACAATAACTATCCATGCAACTGTAAGAAAATGAAATATACATTCACTACTGCATATAATATTTAGGATATGTTGTGACAAAAAGATGAAGATAAGCATAGTACTTTATGAAAGGCAGTAAGAAATAAAAATATATACACACATACATAAAAATGAATGTATGTGTGCATATATTTGCTCGTATTTAAAAACAAATGAAGAGTAAGTCAGTGAAAAGGAGTGACATAAGTGAAGGTAGAAATGGGGTAGAAAGAAGCCAAAATACTTTGTTCTATAAATATGACTTTGGATAAAATAAATCTCACATAAAGAGTAAAACTGAATCAAAATTTTAAAAAGCAACTTCTAAGTATCGAATAAATGAACTAAACTGTTTACTGAGTTGGTTACAAAACCACCAAAGGAATTACTTATAGTAAGTTAAATAAGCAGTTAATTTATCTGTCTGATCCAAGCGAGAATTTATAAACGGGCAAAACACACTTTAAGTGTTTTCAACAAAATATTGTTAATAATATTAAAGCAGGTATTCTGAAACTGTGTCATATAGGTTAACTACATACAATAAAGGATAAATAATTAGGTTAACATCAAGACTTACAGCAAGTGAGAAAAGATAAAAATAAGTCTAAGAAAGTAATATTTAATCTCAAATATAAATTACAAAGTTTTAGTTTTATTTATAATGTAATCCTAACCTTTAAATTTCAGTGTTTACTCAGGATCACTGTTCTAGCTCTAACTACCAAACAGACTTTGCAAATTGTGAACAAAAATTACTGCATTTGTCAAAAGGACTCAAAACTGGAAGAGGATTTCAATAACCAAATATGGAATGATTTTAGTATCAATGAAAATGAAACTCCAATGGATCAAAACACACCTAATATTTTAAAATCCAACAGTTCATGAGATATGTATACAGAGCTCAGTGTTTATAGGGTGGAATAATAGGAAATCACTCATTTTTGAAAGCTGCAAATATAGAGGGAAAAATGAAATATATACTGTATATTCATATATATACAATGTACACTTTTACAAAAGTAAAGTGATGAATGGAAAGTTTTCTTTTAAAAATATTATTTTAGTCAACAAATGAGATGGATAACAAGGTAACTGTTGCCCCTAAGGAAATAATCTAGGCAATGACTGCTAATGTCTAATAATCACAAAAGGAACAGCAGAGTACTGCATTTTTGCCTCCTGAGGGCAGATCACAATATTGCCTATGAAGTAGTCTTGACAAAAATAAAGCCTACAGATTAAAAGAAAACAAGTTTATTGCATCAATTTTACTAATTAGAACAAAATATGCTTTAAACAACAATTTTCAGAAAATTGGGAAAATTTGCACCTATTAGGTACTTTAGGACTGCTCTAGATAGGCTTTTAGGATGGCCCCAATGCTCCCCATCTCCTGTTTTCAGGTCTTTGGGTAATGCCCTCCTCTTGACTGGGCTGGACGTATTTCTGAGGTCAGATTACAAAGATTATACACCCTTTCTTGCTTGCTTTGATGAAGCAAGCTGCCATATTATGAGCTATTCTACAGAGGGCTAATTATCAAGGAAATGGGAGTAGCCTCGGTTAACACCAAACAAGGAACTGTGGTCTTCAGCAACTCATAAAGAACCAAATTCTGCCAACAACCAAGAACAAGCTTTTGCCAAATAGCCTCAAGATGACTACAACTCCTACTCATACCTTGATTGAAGCCTTATGAGAGATGCTCTCACTGAAGAACCAGCTACGACATACTTGAAGCCTTACCCACAGCAACGTAGCTAATATTGTTAAGCTACTAGATTTTGAGTTAAATGGTTTTAGAGCAAAGCACAATACAATATTATCAAGGGCTTATTACATGTTTAGGTGTGAAAATGGTATTGTGGTTATGTTTATAAAAGGTATCTTTACCATTTAAAGACATATAGTAAAATATTTAAGGATGACATTGTCATAACTGACCTAAGTCCTTCACAAACAGGACAAAAGCAAACAGGCCGCTTTCAGCAAATGACAGGCTGTTTCTCAGTAAACACAAGACAATCTTCCCAGTCCCAAAAGTCCAGTGATTGTCTACACACCTGTGCAGACCATTCTTGGACTCAATCATAAACATTTGACCGCAGAATCCTTAACCTCTTCAATACCTATATAAGTCTAATTCCTTTCCCAGTTAGCTGCTAATAACTCTCTTGGTGTTAGCCCATCCACTCAAGGATGAAATCTCTCCCTGCTAGCTGCTGCTAGTTCTCTCTCCCAATGTCAGCTCATCCACACACAGATATAATAAACTTGGTTTTACCCACTAGCTGCTAAAATCCCTGATTTTAGTTTCTGTGTACTATAATAAACTTTTCTTTCACAAAAGCCTGTTTAAATGACCAGTTTCATGTGAACCATTTACAACAGATATAATGTATGAGATTTACATCAAAATAATTTGGTAGCTGCATGAGTGGGGGAAAGGGAAGGAAAAGTGAAACAAATGTGCCACTGAGTTTTTAAAGAAACTGAGATAGTTATATGAAGTTTTGTTCAACTATTCCATTTTCATCTACTCCATTTGTCAAAGTATTCCATTTTCATTTTGAAATTTCTACAATAAAAAATAGAGCATTAAAACATTTTTGCTAGTAAACAAAAACTAATAATCCAAAGTATAAACGAAATTACCATAACAAATAGGCAAAAAAATTACCTAACAATTTGTTATTAAGATATACATTCACTTACCTTAATTCCTGCAAGAACAAGGTTTTTTGCTACAAAATAAAAGGAAATATTAAGAATTCATATTTTATCATGGAGCTTAGTCACAATTCTAGATAACTTTGTTTTAGCTACTCAAAAAATATGTTTTTTTGAAATACAAAGTTAGAAAATAAAATTTTGCATAATCATATCACATATACAGTACTCCTAAATTTTAAAGAACTCCTCCAAACATGTTTTCATGAACATTATGTATGTGTGCTGCCATCATGAATGGAGAATGATCTTAATAGTATTAACATCATAAAAATAGAATGAGAGTTATTTTTTAGTTCCATGTGGAAGCACATAGTAGTATCCTAAAATAGCCTTGTAAGAATCCAAGCTGAATTTTAACAAGGGTGTGCATCTAATTTCTTAAATGCTTTAAATCATCTTATGTCACTCAAATGTGTCAGATAAAATTATGAATAAAAATACTGCTTACCAATTTCCACACCAAGACCACCCATGCCACTTAAAAAAACGTGGGACTTGGCCATCTTCTGCATTGCTGTGTCTCCAAGAACGTACCTCTGTCGACTACATGTAAAATGCAATGAAAAAAGAAAAATATATTTTACCAAATTATATACCCCTTAAAGCTGTTTGCAAACTAACAGCCTAGAGATAAGACACTAGACTGATCCTGCCTAGACTTGTTTCGGATTATTTGCAGTGTTTAAAACTTTTAAAATATATGACAAATTTTGAAAAATTAGATAATTGGGCAACAAGACTGACATTTCTTTTTCTTTATTTTTTTGGTATCAAGGATCAAACTTAGGACTTTGTGCTTGTGAGGTAGGCACAGGCATACTGTCACTGAGCTAAATCTCCAGCCCTGGATCGATTCTTCAAGGCAACAAACAGAACTGAGTAGGACTTGCTCTTTTTGGATAGAGTGGATTATGCATGTTAGATGTGCCACAGCTTCACCCTTGCTGCTGCTCTCCCTCACTGGCTCAGCAGCCTCAACAGACATGTGAATTTGTTATCTCTACTTCAATGGCAAAAAACCTCATCTTTGAAGATTCCAATGGATTCTTATGAGGTTCATTTAAAAAATTCAGCATACACAAATAATTTCTAAAGCCCTTGGGTAACAATTTAGTTTTCAAATTAAAATACATAAACATAATGTATGTTTACTTAAAATATAAATATTTGTATAATATCCGTATTTCAGATTTTATATTCATATATATGTCCAGAAGAGACTTTTCATCTCAACTAAACTTCATAAACACAAGCCATGTTTTGTTTCTTCTTTCCTTGTTCCCTACAAAACAAAAACAAAAAAAATCCACTTTTCTTCCAACCAGTACTCAAGATGTTTCCCAAGTTAAAAATAAATATATTGAATATTTATTACCGTGAGCATGAACGTTTCTGATAGTCTTATCTATATTTGTGTACTCCTAAATAACATCCTGAAGTTTTGCCTCTTTTCCAGCTTTATATTAATGAGATATCTTTGAATGCCTTCTTTTAAATTAATTTGTGAGATTTATTTATTTTAATGGGTGCAACTGGTTAGTAAATTTCTGCTTTAGCCTACTGTATTGCCATATTCAATTGTAATAATATACCATAATTTAGCTATTCTACAGTTTTGAACAGTTACCAATAATGGAGACCATAAGCATCCTTATAAATGTATCCTGGTGCACACTTGCAGTTGTTTCTCTAGTGTATATATTACGGAGGGGAAATGCAGGGCTAAAAAGCACAGTCATGTTCAGCATTATTAGAAAATGTCAAACTGCATTCCAAAACAGAAGTGCCAAATTATTCACCTTTTGGTAATGTGTAGAAGTCCCTGTAGTTTTCACATCATTGCTGGGTAGACATGATTTTCACAAGGGTCTGCGTACAAGGCTACTCACCATATAGTGTTTATAAATTTGGTTCATTCAAATGATTTCTATGATAATTTTCCTTCTACAAGTTTTTTCTAGTTATCTGAAATAAAAATTCTCCGATTTTCTAGAATACATAAAATTTTAAGAGCACCCCAAATTCTGATATCAGTGCTTTTATTATTTTCCAATTTTGATTTATATGACTCATGTGTTAATCCAAAGAATATTTTAAAAATTCTAACTGAATGTGGAATTTTTAATTATTTGTGTTCTAGCATAAATGTACTGTGAAAAGATACACAATCTTGTATTTCATTTAGAATATTTGAGCATTTCTTTGGTCAATTTTATAAACAATGTATACTTTACAGTTGTTTTAATATGTGCATTAGATTAATTTAATTTAGGCTGATAAAACCTTCCATACCTGTTAATTTTTTTCTTTGAAATAACTTATTTTTATTAGTACATGTTTGTGATCTATAATGGCTTTCACTGTGGGTACTTGGTACATGTACATGAATACAGAGAATGATCATTAACAGCATCACTATCATAAGTAGAAGCTATGAGAGCTGTTATTAGTTCCATATGGAAGAACACAGTAGTGTATTGCTTAATTCTTTATGTCCTCACTCCCTTCAGCTCTTGGTCCCCTTCCCATCTGTTGTAGACCCATTTCCCTGTTCCCTTTTTATCTGTCTTTTATTTTGCTCTTTATTTATACTTCAGATTTCTCACACGAGAAAAAGGTTATGGTATTTAAACTTATGTGCTTGGTTTCACTAAACCTTGTATTTCCAAGGTGCATTCAATGTCCTACAAATAGTTCAAATATGTCCTTTATAACGATATAGGGTATATGATATGTGGACCTCCAAATAATATTAAGGAAAATATTGTAACTCCAAACCTGCTAGATATCTGACACACCAAGTTCGTGTTATCTAAAATCGTAGAATGAATTCTAGGAACAACAGAGATTAAGAGTAGGAAGATTATGTTGAGATAAAGACAGCTTCTAGGAGAGAAAGGAAAGGGTCTGGAAGGTTACCCAACAACCTTGCTTCTTGTTTAGTAAGCAAAGACACAAGGTGAAGCGGGTTCAAGGTGGGACAAAACTATAGTCAAGTAATAAGATTAAAAGTATAGTTGCTGAAAGCAAGAAATTTCTGTAATTTATAAAATACCCAATACAAAGGTATTTTTGTTTTAGCAGCCTGAATAAAAGATGATAATGAACAAACTGGTTTTATCCCAGAAATGCAATGCAAGGCTGATATAATATTCGAAAACTAATTACTGTAATTCACTACATAAAGAAACAAAAAAACCACATGGTCAACTCAGTGCATTCAGAAAGCATGGTAACGCCTCACTTAATGACACAGGTATGTTCTGCACAATATGTCATTAGACAATTTCATCTCCAACATCATAGTGTACTCATACAAACCTAGATAGTACAGCCTACTACACTCTTAAGCTGTATGATAAAAAGTGTCCATTTCCACATCAGAGAAGTTTCACCCATACTGAAGATTTTTTTCTCTTGATACGAGTAATTTTCTTCCACAATCAGCTTATCTAGAGTTTCCAAGTTCTTCAAATCTTTAAATATTTACGAGTAATTTTCTTCCACAATCAGCTTATCTAGAGTTTCCAAGTTCTTCAAATCTTTAAATATTTACGTTACTTTTTTATCAGATAATCAGTAATAATGTTTGAATTCTTAAAACCACTCAGAGCTAGCAGTACATTCAAAATCAAAGACGGATAGGGCCGGGGATTTAGCTCAGCGGTTTGGTGGCCTGCCTCGCAAGCGCAAGGACCCGAGTTTGATCCCTGGTACCAAAAACAAACAAACAAAAAAACCCCCCCAAAAAACAAAATCAAAGACGGATCTAGCATTTTTTTGTTTCAACATTGCAAACAAACTTTTGGCTTTGGGGAGCCAGGGATGTAGCTCAGCAGCATAGCACCTGCCTGGCAAGCACAAGGTCCTGAGTTTGATCCCTGTCTCCCCAAATCAAACCACACAAACAAACAAAAAAATTTTTTGGCTTTGGCTGTGATTGTCATGGTGTTAAAGGATATGCGTCTGTATCTGGTCTTCAATTGAGGTCATTTGAAGTTTCTCTATATGTCATAGAGGACTTTCTTAAATTCTGGATTTTGTATTCTTTGAACAGAGGATTTTATATGCTTAGGAGCTATCATGAATAAAATAACACAAGATTAAATTAGGTACATGAAAATGATGCAACCAAGGAACATGCTAAACTTAAGATCTATGAGACTTCTGCTGGTACAATATGGCACATTGTTTGCAGTAAATCTTTTTTTTTTTTTTTTTTTTTTTTTTAATAAGGAGTGAACTCTATGAATACCCTAAAACGTACCAATAAATATTTTGCTAAAAAAAGATAATAGTAAAAAAACAAATATACTAGTCAATACATATGCCAGTATATAAACACAACTGTTTATTATCATTAAGTATTGTGTGGTACATAAATGTACCTGCTATACTTTTATATATGTATAAAGTCTATGCTATACTTTTATATAAGCAGCAGTGTAACAGGTTTGTTTATACCAGGATCACTACAAAAAGGTGGAATCATTTTGCAAATGGGAAGGGGGTCAAGAAATGGAGGAAAAGGGGAATCAAAAGAGAGGAAGGGTAGGTAAAAAGTATCTAAGATATATTATGTACCTGTACCAACTTCCCATGATGAATGAATGATTATGTACTGCAAACATGTACAAATAAAAAGTTTAAAAGAATTTTTAAAGTGAAAAGCTTTGCACTATTAGGCAAAAGGAATTTTTCAATTCTATTACAACCATATCTATATGTGGTCATAATTGACTGAAACATGGTGCAAGACTTTTTGACAAACCTAATAACCTATTCCCAATCAAAAACAAAAACCAGAAAAACAAAACTAATCAAACCAGAAGTAGAAAGGAACTCACTTCCCCAACATAATAAAGAGCACCTTACAATTAATATCATATTCCACCATTAAAGGAAGAAACTTTTCTATCAAATTAAAAAGGATGTCCACCCTAACAATGCCCCTTAAGAATAGAGGTGGTATATGGTATATACGTGCAACGTAATATTACTTAATTTTAAAAAAAAGGCTATCTGTCTAGTGTGCAAAATCCTGGGTTTGATTCCCAGCACCGTTAAAAAAAGAAAATCTTGTTATATGGTACAACATGGATAAATCTTAAAGATGATATGTTAAGTGAAATAAGCCAATCACAAAAGCACAAATACTCATGATTACATGAAGAATCTCAAGTGTTAGATTTAAAGCAGATAATCAGAATGGAAGTTGTCCAGAACTGGCCCAGGTGTTGCTATGCAATGTGTACACAGCTTTGCTTTTTTTTTCTTTTTATTGAGTTTATTGGTACATTCTAGGTATACAATACAGTTACATTCATTTCTGGGATCCTGTACCTTCACATCACAGGTCTTGGTTCTCATTTTTTCCCCTTGTCCCTGCCCTCCCTTCTCCCCCTCCTCCCTCCCCATTTACAAACACTTTATTTCCATTTTTTCATCTTTTTCTTTTCCCTTGTTCCCTTTCCGTACACAGCTTTAATCATATAAAATGAGAAAAATTCTAGAGATCTGCTATACAACAACATACATAGATTTAACAATACTGTACTATATAATTAAAAATTTGTTTGTAGTGTAGGTTACATTTTATTTATTTATTTACAAGAATAGCTTTTTCTTTTCAGACAAATCTCACTTCTTGCTAAATTCCCCATGCTGCGCTCGAACTTATGATCCTGCTGCCTCAGCCTCCCAGAGTGCTGGGAATACAGGTGTGCACAACTATTCCCAGCTACAATAATACTTTAAAAAAAAAAATTTTGACCATGTTCTAAACAGCTCTGTAGGTTGCAGCATTTGGACTTGCATAATGAGACAAAATGGTTCAAACTATAAATCTAAGAATAGAAAGAACTTCTAGAATCCATCTTTATTCTGTCCCACATTCATCCAATTTATTCCCGAATCTATCTCCCTAAACTGGTGAGAGATTAAGGATGTAGAACTAAATTAAATTTTATATATGGTCTCCTGTCATCATAAAATATCTTAATATCTTCAGAAGATATTAAGTTTGGACTTCTAATCTGTATTACATTCTTAGCATCTTCCAAATGGTAACTTGTATCTAAGATAAATCTCTGCTCAAATCCTGAATCTAATACTAGTCCCCACCAAGCAGTAAATAATATTAGCCAATATGATTTCAAGGAGCTGACACTTGTTATCTCAACAACTAAAAGAACGCTAGGATTACAACTACAGACAAAGAGTCCCAATTTAAGATCTCTTCTGAAGTCTATTTTACAATGAGGAGACCATAAAATACTTTCCATATAAAGAAGAGTGTTGATTCTATCTCTTTTTTCAAGTATATTGCACAAAATAGGACGTGAATCAACATACCAAGTGGTATATATAAACTCCTAACACAGTGTTCATAAGTGACTATATATCCTACATAAAAAATATAGAGAAATTCAAAATACATGAACATATCCTTCTGAATTCTACCTACATATTAGAAAAAAATCTAGTAATTTTAACCTATGACTATGCTATCTTTTGTACAAATAACTCTGAAGAATTGCGTGTGTGTGTGTGTGTGTGTGTGTGTGTGTGTGTGTGTGGTGTTTTGAAACAGGGTCTCGATGAAATGTAGTTAGACTGACCTTGAACTCACACTGTGATCCAGGCTGGCCTTGAACTTGTGGCAATCTTTTTGCCTCAGCCTCTCAAGTGCTAAGATCACAAGAATGAACCACTATGCTTGGCAAGAATATTAAAAAACTCTAAAAAAATTCTTAGGAATATCAATATATGTGTTTTTAATTTTTCTTTAGTGAAAAATATTTTGATTCCAGGAAAACATATGGTTAAAAAAAAAATCTCATTTAATTCCAATCAAATCACAACTCCCTGGCCACGTACGACATTTCTCTACCATCCATAAATTACAAAGACCCAATGTTATATTAAGATTACACTGAAAAAATCACATTCTTTAGATGCTACTGTATAACTAGGTGAAAGATTGCTCTTCATGAAACCCCTGTGCTATCAAGAACATTAAGAAAATTTGTCCAAATCAAAGAGGTATATTTTGCAGTAGGTAACAAGATCCTTCTTGATCCTATCATTTATTCTAAAGCAACTGAGATATAAATAGGATTAAACTTTCAGACTACAAATAGCATACAAAAAAAATGACAGAAACCCTAATTTGAGAGAAACTCTTTAAAATATGTGTGCATATATCTATAATGTATGAATAAAACTGTGCACAGTCTTGATGGGATCTTCAAACAGACCACTCAAGTTCAGTTTCAGATTTCATGACATTCTTACCTATACAGTGCATCATCAATCTCCACAGATTCTGCTGACATGATGGGCAAAGTTTTACTTGCACTGGAGGGGGGGGAAAGCAAAGGTGTAAGAGCAAGTATGGTTATTAAATATTCACTTCGACATTTTACCATTCAATTATAAATGTGATCGGATCCATGAATTGTTGAAGATTTTTATATACTATATAATCATCAAATACTTTACATTTTTAAAAGTATGTTGAAAGTAAATTCACTAATGCTTGTTCTGTCCTGTATATTGTAGATTATAGAACCTGTTTTACTTTTAGATGTTGTTTTGTCATTGCTATGTTTATTCTGATGACCCTTTTCTATACACGCTCTATTCATCAATTCACTCAGTCCCATGGGATTTACCACAGACTGATGAGATCTAAACTCATTTTTCTATGTGTGATCTCTCCGATCTCCAGATTTGATACGCCTGCACAAACAGTAACTCATCTTTATGTCTAACTGGTATCACAAACAAAAGCCTTAACAGAATTTAACTGCCCTTGTCTGTCATAATATGCATAAAGTAAGCACTGAAAAAATATCTGTTGAATGAATTTTAGAAATTTAAAACGCAAGCCAAACATAACTAATGAAATAACATATCCATACTGTAGTGATGTATCATTCACAGCAGCGTCTCAATTTTTCAAAAGCACTGTACCCAAAGAAAAATGGCAATTTTTGTAGGAAACAAAGGAAGCAGAGAATTAAAGGCAACGAGAAACAGCCTGGGGCATTTGGGTGTGAGCCACAGTGATGGCTGAAGTCACTATCATCTTGGCAAAAATGCAATCCATACCAGGATCTGGGAAGCTCTGTTGTCAATTTAAGGATTCTAAAGGCAAGAGGACAGCATGAAATACAGGTCTGGAATCTAATTTTCTAAGCCAGCCACTGATAATAAGCCATTGTGTTTGTAAATGTAGGTGATAAAAAATGTTTTCAATTATTTTACCACACTGATTAAGTACAATCAAATGATATCAGTATCTAGTTATTTGAAAAATTACTGTAAAAACTCTTGATTGTAATTATGAAAGCAAAACAAGTCAAAAGTACACACATACAAATCCCGTTTGGGCACTGTAACAAAATATAAATACAATTTCGTATTTATTTTACACCTACTTCACTTTCACTTGCTGTATTCCTTACATGGGACACAATTAAGTGGGTAAAGCTGTTGGGTGAAAAATAGAAGAGCACTATTCTACTCAGCTCTGTCACTAACAGTATGACTGGCACTTTTCAGAAAGTTCTGTCTCATTGAAAGTTTCGAGAATATTTTAAAAAATAAGACTGGAGACGATAAGTGCTTCAAATAAGGGGCAGTTTCATTTTATAAGTGTTTTCAGGAAAATGTTGTTGGCAAAGGCAGACAGTACCACCGTGCTTAGGAGTAAAACAATGCTTCAAAATGAAACTGGTGGAAAAGGTACAGGTTTATGGGCAATCTCTCATTACCTGAAAAGAATACATCCCTCACTTCTGAATTTAGTAGACTGCATTCTGACAATGGGCGGGATACAACTACGAGCTTTATTAAGTACAATCACTGAAAGAGGTACTACTACTAAGACATTGGTTACTTTTCCTCCCAAGTTTTGCAAGGGAAGAAAAGACGCAAAGAAAGACCTCTAGACTGACCGGGACCTCAGAGCAGACCCCCTAGCGCCTTTTACCGCCCTGACACTCGCCCTCGGGTGTCTGCGCGCCAGGCCGCCCGGCGGCAGAGTCCCTGGAGCATCCGCAGGGAGTGCACTGCCC